GGCTCTCCAGCGTAACGATGCACGACCCGATGTCCGCCTTCAGCGACGAGAAGCTCTTCGCGCGAGCGGACGCCAAAAAGGTGGTGATGCAGGCGGCCGTGGCCGGAGGGGTGGATCTGAACGGCCTCGGCTCGCACAGCCCGAGTCGGGGGCGCGTCTGCCCTGTGAGCTGCGTTCAGGACACGGCGCTCGTGCGGAGGCGGGTGCCTTAGAACACCGAAGCGTTCCATTTCCAGGGCTACCTCTCGAAGGCGAGGACGTGGCGCAGGTTCTTGCCAGCAGCATGGCGGCCGCGGATCTGACCATGGTCTGGGGAGAAGGCGCAGCGGGCGGCCGCACGGGAGCTTTTGAGGCTCCGCGCGCTGGGGCAGCCCATCGGGCGATATAGGCTCGAGGCTGTGGCGCTGGGGATGAGCATCGTGAGGCTTGTGAGGCTTGAAGGGGCGGCGGGCGGAAACAACATTCTATTTAGGCAAGGGACCGGCAGCACCAGCGCGGGCCGGAACTCGTGGTAGCGATGCTGCAAAGAGTTTCGAGGGCGGTTGGCGCCAGCAGGGCGCATGCAGTGGATAGGAGCGCTGAGTACTGGCAGGGCCAGGTAACCCCCTCCAGGGCGGAAGGGGGCCCTTGAGGGTGGCCCCGCGGCCTGCAGCGTCTGGCGGAGGCGCCAGGAGGAGGACGAGGAGGGGGCAGCGGCCACGGCGACCCGCCGGGTCGTGAGAGCTCGCGCCCAAGCAAAATTCGCTGGGTGCCATCGGCCACGACTGGAAAAAAGATTGCGCTGCATCATCGTCCTCGCCACCGCCAGGACGAGGAGGGTGAGAGCGGCCTGAGGAATCAAGCCAGAGAGGCCTCCGACCTCGATCCGCCAGGGATTAGCAGGGGCGAAGATGAGAAGTGAGATCACAATTACCACCACCACCACCACCATCATCATCATCATCACCATCATCATCATCATCATCATCATCATCATCAGCAGCATCAGCATCAGCATCAGCATCAGCATCAGCATCAGCATCATCGTCATCATCATCATCATCAGCATTTTCATTATCATCTTCGTCGGCATCATCATAATCATCATCAGCAGCATCATCAGCATCAGCATCAGCATCAGCATCAGCATCAGCATCATCATCGCCACCACCAGCACCAGCAATAGCATTATCATCAGCAGCATCATCAACATCATCACCACCAGCACCATCATCATCGTCGTCATCATCATCACCATCAGCATTATCAGCATCATCAGCATCAGCATCATCACTATCATCATCACAATCATCATCATCATCATCATCAGCATCATCATCATCATTATCATCATAACCAGCATCCTCTTCCTTGCCTCGTGATCCGGATCCACCCTCCGCCTCGAACTCCTCCTGCTTCCCCCCTCTACTTCTCCATCCTCGCCCACCTCTTTCCGCATCCACCTTCTCCTCCCCTACGCGTCCTCACAATTCCTCCCAACCTCTCTAACGATCCACCCTCCTCCGCGGGACGAGGCGAATGGGATCCAGAGTGTAACATCTCATGAGCCCCTGAGCCCCTGACGGCCACGTGCGTTCGACAATTTCTCGACCCTGCCTGGCCTCCAGAAGTCTCATCAGGCATCCAGGTAATTACCTCGGAGACATCTGGGGGTCAGGATGTGGGGCGGCATCAACGTTTAACACCTCCTCCCGTTCGTCCTTCTCCTCCTCCTCCACCTCTTCCTCCGCCGTCATCATCGCGCTGGCGGCGACTTCAACGGCGACGGCGGCACCACCGGTGATGTCGCCGACGGCGGCGAAAGGCGTCGGCGTGATATCCTCCTCCCCCTGACGTTTCTGACGTTTCCCGCTAAGCACAGCGTCTCCCCGCCTCCACGCGCGCCAGGCGGGCGCACCCCGCCTCCCTGGTTTCGACGGCGGCGGCGGCGAAAGCGAACTTCGGCCCCCAGGAGGAGAAGAAAGCGGAGGAAACCATCACCAACCTGTCCTGGCCCCTCCTCCCCCTCCTCCTCCTCCCCCTCCTCCTCCTCCTCCTCCTCCTCCCCCTCCTCCTCCTCCTCCTCCTCGTCCTCGTCCTCGTCCTCGTCCTCCTCCCCCCCTCCTCCTCCTCCTCCTCCTCCTCCTCCTCCTCCTCCTCCTCCTCTCTCTCTCCCATCCCAAGGGGGGCGAGCCCCCGCGGAGTTCCTCCATGCAAAGTCCTTGCCCAGGGTGAACATGTGCGGGCCCACCGCCAGGCGCCGCACGATGGCCGCCTCCGCGACCGCGAGCACACGATGGCCTCGTCGGAGACCGCGGCCACGGCAGCCGGCCCACGCACGGCACCGGCACTCGGCGGGCGCGGCGGTCGCGGCGCTTGGCGCCGCAACTTGCCGACCAGGCGTTGGCGGGGCACCCTGCTGCCGCCTGCGGTGGCGGGAATGCCGTCAGCAACCTTCCTCGCTGACGAGTTCGCGAAGCAACCCATCAAAGTGGGCCAACGACAAGGTGTCGGAGACTGGATACTCCCACTGGGTCACACCAGCGCCGCGGTTGAAGAAGTAGGTGTCGCCTGATCTCTCATCCACTGCACTCTCCCATCCTGCAGGGAGCAGCTGCGGGGCGGCGCGCGTCGCGCCGCCGCGCCTCCCCGAGAGCGGCGGCTCCATCGGCACCACGCCCGAGAGCGCAGTGAAGAGGTTCGCCTCGGCGTCATGCGCGCCGACGCCGCAGGTCGACTCAGGAGCGCGCGGGCTTGGCCCCGAGGAGGCCGCGGCCTCCTGGGCGGCAGCAGACGTAGAGCACTCAAGGGATGGCTCCCTGGAGGCCCAGGGGGTTGGGCAGCGGAGGCGAGGCCTGCAATGCCCGTCAATCTCCACGGTGAGAGTCACACATGCATTTTGTCGCTCGGGATATTTGCCTTCTCGGCGAACGCGGCGGCGCTCGGCGGGCGCCTCAGCGAGCGCGGCAAAGCCGGGCGGCTCCGCTGGGGGGAAGACTGCCGGCGTGCCCCCAGCTCCTTCGGCCGCGCCCTCCCGCACCTCCAGCTCCTCGTCGCTCGAGGGTGCCTCGAAAAGCTGCTCCATGAATGCCTTCTCAATTGACTCCTCCAGGTTCCCTCTACTTTCTCGCAGGACGACGTCTGGGCCTCCAGCCTGACCCTGCTGAGCGCTGCCACTGCCGCCTCTTCTCGAACGAGTGCATCGCAGACTGTATCTGATGACGTTTGGCCCAAAGTAGCGCCACTGCCGACGGCCACTGTCTCTACTCGCAGGTCCTTCACCGAACCACCACACTCGAAGCTGATGGCGTCGGGCCTCTTGGGCCCCTTCTCGCATTGACGGCCCTGCTGCCACTGGCGGCCATTCTCAGGCCTCTCCTGCCGCTGACGCCCCTTCTCGCACAGATCTTCAGTGCGAGCGCGGCGGCGCTCGGCGGGCGCCTGATGCCCCGAGCCTTCAACCCAACCACTATTGAAGAAAAGGCGAGAAGAGGAGGCAGAATTACACGAAAGTGAAGATGCACCGTGTTGTTTGTGCCGAGCGCTATGCGCACGCTCAGGTTCTGCACGTTTTGCACGCGCCAGGTTTTGGCAAGTGACTGCATCGCAACACGCCTGGCTTGTGATTGCGCCGCCCTCCGCCGATGGACAACCAACAACGCAGCTGATGGCATCAGGCTCGTGCTTCAATGAACCACCACCCCTGAAGCTGACGGCATCGGGCTCGTGCTTCGGAGCACCGCCGCCCACGTGGCTTATGGTGTCGGGCTTGTACTCTGCAGGGCCTCCACCCCCGCAACTCATGACAACGGGGAGCGTCGGCAGGGCCTGCTGCAGCTGCTCGCCGCCCTCGCCAACCTTCTTGAGCTCATCGCTTTCCACCCTGTCCCCTGCAGGGCAGGGACCATAGAGCGGGCCTGGCTCGCCTGCACCAGACGCCGAGCTGATGACGTTGGGCTCCACTGCCTGCCACTTCTCGCATTCCACCCGGGTCCCCGCAGCGCAGGGGTCATGGGGCGGGCCTGGCTCGCCTTCACCAGCAACCAGCCTGATAACGTTGGGCTCCACTGCCTGCAGCTTCTCGCAATCCACCCTGCTCCCCGCCGCGCGGGGGTCCTGGGGCGGGCCTGGCTCGACTTCGCCTGCCGACACTTGCCGCCCAGCGCTGGACCTGAAAAGATCGGGCTGCACTTCTCGAGTGGGAATGTTGTGAAGAGGAAGGGAACCACGGAAGAGAGTGTGAGGCCCCAAGAATTCGCAATCTTCCATCCAGGCTTCGAGGCCTGGTGAAATTCCGAATGCTGGGATAAGCATGCATGCATCTGCGTCCAAGTTGGTACTGAGCTGACGATCCTCTTTAACAGCCTCACCACACGCGCTATCGCATGCCTGGGCTGGCACAAAGACGGGAGCTGAAGGATTCAACTGAGACCAATGGGTGGCCTTTGCATTGCAACCGACGCTGTTTCTACAAACAGCTCTCCATAAGACGCATATGTCATGTGGGTTGCACCTGAACTTCCTAGTTCTGCACGCATAGCCCAGCCTCCTCATTGCTTTTGTAGCCGCACTTTGCGGCCTCCACACGGAACGCGCGGGTAATATCTCGTGGCCAGGCATCTCAGAAGAATACACGGCAGAGACGAAAGAGGCAAGATCGAGAGATCAATGAGACTCCATCGTTGCGGGCCAAGCCGAGCGGGGCTGGCCGCGCGGGGTCACCCTGCGGGGCGGCGGGCGCGCGGTGGGGGGGCTTGAGCCAAAATGGCTACGGCCCTCCTCCTCTCCTCCTCCTCCTCCTCCTCCTCCTCCTCCTCCTCCTCCTCCTCCTCCTCTCCTCCTCCTCCCCCTCCTCCTCCTCCTCCTCCTCCTCCTCCTCCTCCTCCTCCCCCTCCTCCTCCCCCTCCTCCTCCCGTCCTGGCCTCCGCCACGGCGACGACGACCACGACGACAGAGACGAGTGCGATGGCGACGGCGGCAGCGGCAAGAGGCGGCCACGGCCCGCGGCGGGCCAGCCGGGCCTTGCGCACGCCCATGGTGGCGCGCAGCTCCAGGCGCTTGGTCTCCTCCTCCTCCCTCCGGGTCTTCGCCCTCTCGCCCTCGGCGGGCGCCGGGGGGTGGCGCCCCCCCCCCCCCCCAGCGCCGACCCCGAGAGACCCCCGAGGGCCTCGAGCCTGCATAGGCTCGACATCCTCGGTCCGCGGCGGCCCCCCCGAGAGCCTTCCAGGGACCCGAAGCGTCGCCTCGCCGACGGCCTTCAGGGGCCCCCCTTCGGTATGGCCGCCAGCCAGCATGCTGGACGGGCACAGCGGCGGCACCTGCCGCAGGCAGCTGAACTAGAAGAGAAACACTTCGGGGATCTTCTGACCCAGGTCAATCCAGACGAGGGTCAGCAGGAAACCAAAAACTGCAATGCAGGAAAACAAAAACTGCAACGCAGGTCTTCGCAAACCCGGGTCAGCCAATATGTGCGGCCGCCTGGCGGCCACGAGCGGCTCCCTGACCCTGGTCAGCCCGAGGGGGTCTTCGCAGGATCCTGCGGGATCTGGCGCCCTGGCTGACCCCCGTTTGCACTGACCCCCGTCTCAAGGCTCCCGAACTCGGGGATGGACAGACCCCCCTTTAGCAAAACGTGGTTTAGTGAAAACGACCTGAGGCCCAAACCTGGCGGGCGCAAGCCTGGAAAATAACGGCCACGGCGCCCTCTCGAGAACCGAAAACGGACAATTCACTAATCGACGTGTCACTATTGGGGGTTCTGTCCAGCCCCGACGAACACTGCACGAACATCAACTTCCGGCGCTCCGCGCGGATCTCTTGGATCGCCAGGGCGGCGCTGGAGGCGCCCAGCGCTGATCCAAGGTCTGCGCGGAGCGCCCGGAGTCCCACCAGCCCTCTGGGCGTCGGTGGCTTAGGGCGTTTCCTCTTCCACCCCTTCTTGCGCGCCAAGATCTTCAATTGTGGGCTGATATACTCCATCTGCTACGGAGAGGAGGTCCTAGGACATGCCCCCTGTGGAATTAATCAAAGAAGTTTTGTGTCCAGGCTGCGAAGGCACAAGGGATCTGGACTGCCAGTTGTGACATCATTATCGCTTCGGGGAGGGGTTTACCCCTCCCCGAACCCCTCCTTCCTCCCCTTCAGGGAGGGGTTTATCACTGTTCCCTATTAGTAAGCACCCCCTCCCCCAGGCGACCGGAGGCCAACCCAGGTCCATGCCAACACCCCCCAAAAATCCATTGTAAAAAAATACAAAACGCACTCTGCCTCCAAATTCGGAACATGCGCAGCCAACCCGATGCGCCCCCCCCACACACCTTCCCTGTCAAAAAACAATACAGAGTACACTTGGCGGAGGCGGCGGCGGCTGCGGCGGCGGCGGCTGCGGCGGCGGCGGCGGCTGCGGCGGCTGCGGCGGCGGGGGCGGCGGCGGCGGCGGCGGCGGCGGCGGCGGCGGCGGCGGCGGCGGCGGCGGTAGCGGCAGCGGCAGCGGCTGCGGCGGCTGCGGCGGCGGCGGCGGCGGTGGCGGCAGCGGCGGCGGCGGCGGCGGCGGCGGAGGCGGCGGTGGCGGCAGCGGATTGGCCCCCAGTAGCTACCCATCCAAAGACGACTGCTGAATATGCTGAGGCTCGGGCCAGACTCGGGTGCTACGTATGTGTTGGGAGGGCGGGTGGGAGTGAGCGAGACGGCTTGCGGGCGGGGGGGGGGGGGTCTTGACCCCTCCCCCTACCCCCTCCCCCCACCCCCCAGCGTCTGGAATGTGTTCATGCCGTTTCTCTGCTGCTCGGTCCCCAGGGCCGCCAGGAGAACGGAGGGGCCCCTGCCCGCTGGAGAGGCCCAAGGGCCCAGGGCGGCAGGTGCCGAGCGGGCGAGGGCCGGGGGCCGCCGCCGCCGCTGCTGTCTCCCCCTCCCGCTTCTCAGTATCGGCACACTGCTTCTCCTCCTGCTCCTGCTCCTGCTCCTGCTCCTGCTCCTCCTCTTTCTCCTCCTCCTCTTTCTCCTCCTGTCTCTTTTCCTCCTCCTCTTCCTCCTCCTTCTCCTGTTCCTCCTTTTTCCTCCTCTTCCTTCTTTTCCTCCTTCCCTCCTCCTCCTCCTCCTCCTCCTCCTCCTCCTCCTCCTCCTCCTCCTCCTCCCTCTCCTCGTTGCTCCTCTTATTCCTTCTCCTTTCCCTCCTCCTTCTTCTCCTCCTCCTCCTCCTCGTTGCTCCTCTTATCCTCCTCCTCCTCCCCCTCCTCCTCCTCCTCCTCCTCCTCCTCCTCCTTCTCGTACCTCCTCACCGTTGTACCTCCTCCTGATCCTCCTCCTTCTCATCATCCCTCCTGTTCCCGATCCTGCCTCCAGTTTCAACCTAGAGGATCCTACTGCCGCCGAACCTCGGCGTCGATGCCGTCGCGGCCGCCGCCGCAACTGCCGTCGCCGCCGCCGAGGTCGTCGTCGCCGTCGTCGCCGCTGGCCCGTGCCCGCGGTCGCCGTGATCGTCCCCGCCGACGTCGCGCTCTCGTTGCTGCTGACGCTCCTCCACGTCCATCTCCTCCTCCTCCTCGTCCTTTTCCTCCTCCTCGTCCTCCTCCTCTTCCTTTGCCTCCTCCTCCTCCTTGTCCTCGCTCTCCTCCTTCTCCTCCTCCTCCTCCTCCTCCTCCTCCTCCTCGGTCCCCCCCCCTTCCACCTTCCAAGCACGTCCTCCTCCTGCTACTTCCCATCCGTCCCGTCCTTTCTTCACGTGCTCCCTGGTTATCCTTCCCTCCTCGCCCTCCTCCTGCTGCTCCAACTGCTTCGCCTGCTCCTCTCCGTCATCATCCCTGAGCATCATCATCCTCATCCTCCTCATCATCATTGTATATCTCGCTCTCTCTCTCTCTTTCTCTCTCTCTCTCTTCATCTGACCCTCTCACCCATTTGTGTTTTGTCCCTTCCTTCCATGCGGAAGTGTGAGGCCCACATCTCCTCCCACTGCCTTTCCTCCCTCCTCATGCCTGCTCCTCGTCCCCGCCTCCTCCCGATAGAGAGAGGAGGCGGGCGCCTCGCTGCCAAGTTACCCCCCCCTCCTCGCCACCCCTTCTTGCCCTCACAAGAAGGAAGGGAAGGACGGGGGCGAAAAACAGGACGAGCGGGGAAGCACCCTGCTGCGCAGGCGTCTCCTCCTGCTACCCCTCATCCTCGAGTGGGAGGTCTCCAGAATCGGGCCAGGGCAGATGGGGGTTCGCCGAAAGAGCCGGTGGTGACCCATCGGCCCTTCGGCGGCCTTCGGGAGAATCCAGCGATCCTCGGCGGTCTTCTGCACCAGCAACTGGACGGCGAGCGCAACGAGGGTGCGACGATCGATCGAACACAAGAGGCAAAAGGGAGGAACGCACCGCATCGCCGACGCGAAGGGCTCAACATCAGGGGATTAACCGCTGATGCATGGGCGACACGGCGTGACCCTACGGCTCAATCTATTCCAGCCAACCCTTATTTGGGAGGCCACGGATCAGTAGAGATGAAGACCGGGAACATCGAATCCACACTTTGCGATACGGAACCCTCCCCATCGCCCATCGACGCATCTCGCCCAGAATGAGGATAAGGAAAAAGTGAGCGGTTCGAGGAACTGACGACAACATGGGCCACTCCAACCTGATCCAAAACTTGCACTGGGACGGGGGCGCACGAGGCGGGCTCCTCTGCTCTCATCCGTGCAGCTTTGTCCGCCTCGTTCTCCTTCCGCTTCGCGATCACACCCTTCTCCTTGCGCGAGGGATGGGAACAACGCGTGCTCCATGTGGTTTAGGGCGTTTCCTCTTCCACCCCTACCCCTCTTCCTCCCCTTCAGGGACGGGTTCATTACTGCTTTCTTCTTATAAAACATCGGCTCCTCCAGGCGACTGGCAGCAAACCAGGACGACGACACCCCCGCACCACCCCTGTCAAAAAACCATACAACATACACCTTGGGGAAAACTCTTTGGTCATGCCCGAGGGCCCCGCGAGCACTTTGTCTGGTTTTTTGGCAGGGACGGCGGGTGGGGCCCTCATGCTGCCTCCTGTTCGCAAGGCCATCATCCCTATCAGAAAGCCATGCAGCATGCAAAATGCACTTCGCGACTGAATCTAGATCATGCGCGGCCACCCCGTGCAAGCCCACCAGACACCATGATGGCCTCCACGCCGCGATTGCGCGGTGGCTTTCGAGGAGGATGGTGGGCCGACATGCTTCCCGATGTGTGCACTACGCGGGCGCACCTGGCACACTCTGCGCGTGCCTCGAACGTGGCGCACCTGGCGCAGGTGGAGCATGCGGCACACATGGCGCACGTGGCGCATCTGGCGCGCCAGGCGTGCCCGGCACGCTTGATCCCCAAGGGTGCCTGGCGCGCGTGGCGCGCCTGGCACGCGTGGCGTACCTCGCCCCAACGTCGCGCACATGGGGTCTGTGTTGGTTCCCAGTAGCAGTCCTTCCCTAAACGACCGCTGAACATGCTGAGTCTCGGGTGCAGTTTATGTGTTGGGAGGGAGGGCAGGAGTGAGCCAGACAACTAGAGGCCAGGGAGGGTTTCTTGACCCCTCCCCCTCCTCCCTACCCGTGCACCTGCACAGGAGGGGGTCGCGACCTATCAGAGCGTCCAAGAAGGCCTGGCGATAATGCAACTATCACTGATGTTACTAAGTGTTTGGCCACAGGTTGGCCTACTGGGGGTGAAATATGGGACCCTCCTGTTTTGATCGAGCTCCTCCAAGATTGCCCCAAGACTGCCCGCAGGCGTGCACCAAAAGGGCCCCAAGAGGCGCAGAGGAGGCGCCAGGAGGCCCCAAGAGGCCCCAAGCGGCCCCCAATAAGCTCCCAAGAAAACCCCAAGAGGCTCTCCCCAAGACGCGCCAAGAGGTCCCTGTGGCCGCCAAGAGGCACCCAAGACGTCCAAATGGGACTCGAAGAAACTCTCAAGAGACATCCGAAGAGATCCCGAGAGACATCCGAGATGTCTCTACTTCACCTCTCCCCCTTTCCCCCTCTTCCTCCTCCTCCGCCTCCTCCGCCTCCTCCTCCGACTCCACCTCCATCCTCCCCCTCTTGGGGTACGGTGGCTTCCTCAGCCCTTTATTACACTGCATGTTCCTCCACATCTCCCATCAGTTTTTGGATGGGCTGGTGGGGCTTACGCGACGCGTGTAGGAAACATGTGCGTTGCATATATATATATATTGATATGTATATAAATCCATAGGTATAGATGCATACGTACGCAACTGCTCACGTATTATACACGTAAACATGTACCTGTACACACACTCGGACCACACGCGCACTTGGGTTCTAGCGCGCAGCGACCCTCGACACCAAGACAGCTGTACATGTGCACAAACATAAGCAACTGAGGAACAGCAGGTGCGGCTTCGTTTAGAAGGACATCATCAGATATACGTATGTGTGTATGTAGGTATGTATGTAGGTATGTAGGTATGTATGTATGTAGGTAGGTATGTATGTATGTACGTATGGTTGTATGTATGTATGTTTGTATGTATGCATGTATGTATGTATGTATGTATGTATGTATGTATGTATGTATGTATGTAGGTATGTTTATATGTATGTGCGTATGTCTGTGTGCGTATGTATATGTGCATGTATGTGTGCGTGCGTCGGTATGTGTTAATGTATTCATGTGTATGCATGTGCGTATGTGTACATGTATGTATGTATGCATGTATGCATGCATGCATGCATACAGGTATGCATGTATACATACATACATACATGCATGTGTGCATGAATGTACGTATGTAAATATGTATAGGTGTATGTATGTATGTATGTATGCATATATGCATGTATGTATGTATGTATGCATGCATGCATGCACGCATGCATGCATGCATGCATGTATGTATGTACGTACGTAAGTACGTACGTACGTACGTGCGTATGTCGGAGCTCTCTTGGATGTCTTCGGGGCCTGGTGGGGACGGTCTACGGGGCCTCTTGGAAGCAATTTTGAAGACCATTAGGGCCTCTTTGGGGCCGGTTGAAGGCCTCGCGGGGCTCTCTCCTGGGCCTCGGGGGTTTCTTGGTGGTTTCTCAAAGCCCGCTTGCGATCTCAAGGGGCCTCTTAGGGCTTCTTGTGGCCCTCTTTGGGCAGAGGGCTGGCAGCTGCAGAGACCCTCTTTGGGGCAGAGGTGGGCCGGGGCCGGCTGGAGACCCGGTCTGGCATCCATCCACACGAGAACCCTCAAATGATTCGAAGAACCTACAACAAATCAAATCATTTAGGGCCCGGGGACCATCTCAGTACGGAAGGCTCGAAATGTCTGTTCAAATTCACCCTGTGGGCCCTGTCTTGGGGCAGTCTTGCGACAACCTGAGCCGTTATGGGTGCCTCTTGGGCCGCCTTGGGGCCCTCTGAGGCTATCTTGGAGTGCTCTTGGGGGCCTTTGTGGGCGATCTTGGGGGCCTCTGCGGCCGCCTTGGAGGGGTGGACGCCCAGAAAGCGAAAATCCTAACACCCCTGCTTCGGCACCCAGAACTTGGCGCCTCCTGATCCACACTTGGGGATCCTCCTGAGGCCTCTCGAGAGTCTCTAGGGGCTTGTTGAGGGTTCCTCGGGGGCCGCCAGGGGGATCCGAGGGCCACCCCAGCACGACAAGCTCAAAATGTCCGTTCGGGTTCCCCTCTGGCCCTCTTGGGGCCGTCTTGGGGACTTGTGGGCCGCCTTGGCGCCCTCTTCGGCGGCCTTGGAACGCTCTCGGGGGCCTCCTGGGCCGTCATTTGGGCGGTCTTGGGGGCCTCTGGAGCCGTCTTGGAGGGTTCGGAGCCCAAAGCCGGAAAAGCCCGAGAATCGCCAACACACAACAGAACAATAGCTGATCTTCTGGAGCTTTCCTTTGCCCGTCTTGGGGGTCTCCTTGGCCGTCTTGGGGCAGTTTGTGTTCTTCTTCTGTCATGGCTCGCTCAGGCTCCACAAGCATTGCGAATGCCCAAAACGTACAACTTGACTCATGCATGTCCGTCGAACGCTATCACGACAAGACCGCACCTACCGCACGCCCGGCGCGAGTGGTGGTCCGCGCGGGACTGGCGACCGCTTATGGCTCTCCCAGCTCGCGCCTGACATTAAGAAATCTAAAACATTCCAGGAGCGCTACGAGTCTCCTAAACTTGACCATCCGAATTCGCAATAGTTAACGGGCTTCTGTTTGCCTGTAAGCCACGCTTCACGATTGCGGGCGTCTCCAACTTCTGGGAGGAACGCCTCGATTCAAACCCGCATGACGACTGCGCCGATATTAGCTGTATCAGGTATGGCATCTCTGAAGAGAAGAACGCTGAACAAAAGTGAAGCCGCCAGCCGCTCGCTTCGAAAGGCGAACACTTGCCCGCGGCACTCGCGATGGAGAGCAGGGCCTAGGGCTGCCCGTCACAAAGGGCACACTCTGCCGCTCCAGCACAGACTACTCGAGCTCGCGAAGCCCAGCTCCGGCGCCCTTGGTGATGGGCCTGTATCCCACCACCACCACCACCATAAGTTGGAGGGGGGAAGGAGGTGGTGGAGGAGGAGGGAGAGGAATAACAATTACTCACTGCGTGGAGCTCCCCATACGTGCATCTATTCGCATGGACCTGTCCGCCGTGAATGTCTAGGCGCAAGAGCTTTCGAATATAAACGGGCTTCAGTTGCGACCGTATGGTCATGAATCTAACTGCGAATGAATTGGAGTGTGGATGAGCCTCAGTAGCACGAGCGCGCCTATGCGCATGAGCCTGTGGCCTCCTGGGGCCTCCTGAAACCTACTGGGACTTCCAGGAGCCTCCAGGAGCCTTTTGGGGCCTCCTGGGACCTCCTGGGACCTCCTCGGGAGGATTCGTGCCCCAGGAGAGGCCCAATATATAGCAACAGGCGTACATAATAAAACATTGCGGATTGGAGCCGCAGGAGAACGGCAGTCTACAGGGATACGCGTAAAACACCAAGGACTCGGGCCCCAGGAGAGGCCCGAGATATAGGAACATAGGTAAAACAGTTAGGATTGTGCACACTGGAGAAGGACAATCCATAGAGACATACGTAGAACGTCAAGGGTTCGTGCTCCAGGTGTGGCCCATTCTATAGGAGCGTACGTAAAACACATGGGGCAGGAGCCACTCCTGTTGCCTTCTGAGGCCTCCTGCTCCTGGGGCCTCTCGGGGCCTCCTGTTGCCTTCCGAGGCCTCCTGGTGCATCCTGTGGCCTCCTGGGGCCTCCTGTGGCTTCCTGAGGCCTCCTGAAGCTTCTTGGGGCCTCCTAGAGCCTTTTGGGACATCCTGTGGCCTCTTGAATTTTTTTATTGCCTCCTGATGCCTCCTGGGACCTCATGTGGTCTCCTGGGGCCTCCTGGAGCCTGTTGGAGCCTCCTGTGCCAACGAGTCCGGTCACCAAAACAGGCAAACCGATCGAGACATCCTCAAAATCTGGCCCACCTGGGGAGTGAAAGTGAGCGTCTCGCTCGAGACATCCTCAACATCTGCTCCGACAGCACATATGTTGGGACAGAAAACAAGCAAACCGCTTGAAACATCACCGCAAAACGGCCGCGAACGGGACCGTGAAATACCCTTCGGCGGGTCCCCCTAGGGGGGGGATAATGAGCGCCTCCCTCGAGACATCCTCCAAATATGCTCCGACAACGAATGATGTTGGGACAGAAAACAAGCAAACCGCTTGAGACATCCCCGCAAAACGGCCGCGAACGGGACCGTGACATACCACTCGGCGGCCCCTCTGAAAATGAACGCCTCGCTCGAGACATCCTCCAAATCTGCTCCGAAAGCGAAGGGTGTTGGGATACAAAACAGGCGAACCGCTTCAGACATCCCCACAAAACGGCCGCGAACGGGACCGTGAAATACCCCTCGGCGGCTTCCCCCATGGGGGGTGAAAATGAGCGCCTCGCTCGAGACATCCTCCAGATCTGCTCCGAACGAGAAGGATGTCGGGACAGAAAACACGCAAACCGCTTGACACACCCACAAAACGGCCGCGAACGGGACCGTGAAATACCCCTCGGCGGCTCCCCTTAGGGAAATGAAAAAGTGAAAATGAGCGCCTCGCTCGAAACATCCTCCAAACATGCTCCGAAAACGAAGGATGTTGTGACAGAAAACAAGCAAAACGCTTTAGGCATCCGCACGAATCGCCCGCGAACGGGACCGTGAAACACCCCTCGGCGGCTCCCCTTGGGGGGGTGAAATTGAGCGCCTCGTTCGAGACATCCTCCACATCTGTTCCGACCGCGAAGGATGTTGGGACAGAAAACAACCAAACCGCTTGAGGCATCCCCACAAAACGTCCGCGAACGGGGCGTGCGTGAGTCTCACCTTGAATCAGTCTGAGTAGGAGTAGGTCTGAGTACGACAAGGTCAAAGTCTGAATAATTTTGTGTGTGTGAGTAAGTCTGGGCATGAGGAAGTCTGAGTATGAGTCAGTCTGTGTATGAGTAAGTCTGGGTATGAGGAGGAGAGGGGGGAGAAGAGGAATATGAAGGGGGAGTAGGAGGCGCCCAAGTAATAATTACTTGACGCCGGGCTCCCCAGACGTGCACCTCATACTCTTGGTACGTCTTTCTATTGATATATGTCAATGAGCGCCTGCGTGCGAGGGCGAACCGCTCGCTTGAGACATTCCCACAGTCTGCAAGCATGAGCGCGACCAGTAGCAAATCTGAGAGCGACCGATTCTGAGTGTGAGTTAATCTGGGTGCGATTGGACCAAGGTTTGAGTGGGTATGCGTGTAATTATGGGCGCGAGTGCGTCTGTGTGCGAGTGGGTCTGAGTATGGAGGAATCTGAGTGTGAGCCAGTCTGTGATTGAGCGGATCGTAGCATGATGAGTCTGAGCATGAGTGCGTCTGGGCGTGACTGGGCCTGAGTGTGAGAAAAAGCCTGTGTTCATGAATATGAGTGCGAGTGGGCCGAGTGTGATTGGGTATGGATGTGAGGCAGTTTGGGTGTGAGTCGGTCTACGTTTGAGCGGACCGAAGGATGATGAGTCTGAGCAGGAGCGAGTCTGAGTATGAGTGGTTCTGAACGTGAGTCTGGGTGTAAGTTTAAGTATGGATATGAGCGAGTCTAAGTGCGAGTGAGCCTGCGTGTGACTGGTTCTGAGTATGAGTGAGTATGAATGCAGAAGAATGAAGGAGAGCTGATGGCGAAGGAAAGTGAGGCGGAAGCGTTTGAGTAAAACCTGAAGACTTGGAACATCGAACCTCGATCGCCTGGCCCTGGCTACTCGAGTTGCCCACGTCCTCCTCCTCCTCCTCCTCCTCCTCCTCCTCCCCCTCAACATCATCATCATCATCATCATCCCCTTCCTGCTTCTGTTCCTACCATGTTCATGCTGTCCTCCTTCTCCTCCTCCTTTTCCTCATCGTCCTCTTCCTCCTCCTCCTCCTCGTTTCCTCCTTATTTTCCTCCTCCTCGTCCTCCTCCTCCTCCTCCTCCTCCTCTTCCTCCTCCTCCACCTCCTCCTCCTCCTCCTTAGGAATGCTGACACCAGCAAATCGCATGAGGCATCGCCCCGCAACTGCCCCGAAAACGACAGATGCCCAGCATCAGAACGGCCAAGCCGCCTGAAACATCCCCGCACACTGGGCGCGAACGTCCTCCAAACCTGTTCCGAAAGCGAACCATGTTGGAAGAGAAAATGGCAAAACCGCCTGAGGCATCCCCACAACATCCCGCGAAAGGGGCCGAAGGAAATACCCCCCCGCCGCCCCCCTTAAAGTGCTGAAACCAGCGGGTCGCCTGAGACATCCTCCAAAGTTGCTCCGAAAGCGAAACATGTGGGAAGAGAACATGGCCAAAGCGCCTGAGTCATCCCCACAACATCCAGCTAAAAGGGCCGAATGACATACCCCCCCGCCGCTCCCCTTAGAACGCTGAAGCCAGCGAGTCCCCTGAGAAATCCTCCAAATCTGCTCCGACAACGAAACATGGTGGAGGAGAAAATGGCCAAACCGCCTGAGACATCCCCACAACATCCCGCCAAAGGGGCCGAAGGAAATACCCCCCCGCCGCTCCCCTTAGGAGTGCTGAAGCCAGCGAATCGCCTGAGACATCCTCGCGAACTGCTCCGAAAGCGAAACATGTTGGACGAAAAAATAGCCAAACCGCCTGCGACATTCCCACCGTTACTCGACGCGGGGCTCCCCGTATGTGCATCTCATTTTCTTGGTACGTCGTTCTATTGATATCTGTCAATGAGCGCCTGTGTGCGAGGGCGAACCGCTCGCTTGAGACATTCCCGCAGTTTGCAAGCATGAGTGCGACCAATCGCAAATCTGAGAGCGACGGATTCTGAGTGTGAGTTAATCTGGGTGCGATTGGACCTGAGTTTGAGTGGGTATGCGTGTGAGTAAATATGAGCGCGAGTACGTCTGTGTGCGAGTGGGTCTGAGTATGGAGGAATCTGAGTGTGAGCCAGTCTCTGATTGAGCGGATCGTCGCATGATGAGTCTGAGCATGGGTGAGTCTGGGCTTGGGTGGGCCTGAGTGTGAGAAAAAGTGTGTGTTAATGAATCTAAGTGCGAGTGAGCCGAGTGTGATTGGGTATGGATGTGAGGCACTCTGAGTGTGAACCGGTCTGCGTTTGAGCGGACCAAAGGATGATGAGTCTGAGCAGGAGCGAGTCTGAGTATGAGCGGTTCTGAGCGTGAGTCTGAGTGTGAGTGAGTTTAAGTATGGATATGAGCGAGTCTAAGTGCGAGTGGGCCTGCGTGTGACTGACTCTGAGTATGAGTGAGCACGAATGCAGAAGAATGAAGGAGAGCGGAAAGCGAAGGAGAGTGAGGCGGAAGCGTTTGAGTACAACCTAAAACCTTGGAACATAGAACCTCGATCGTCTGGCCCTGGCTACTCGACTTGCCCACGTCCTCCTCCTCCTCCTCCTCCTCCTCCTCCTCCTCCTCCTCCTCATCATCATCATCATCATCATCATCATCATCATCATCATCCCCGTCCGGCGTCTGCTCCTACCGTGTTCATGCTGTCCTCCTTCTCCTCCTCCTCCTCCTCCTCCTCCTCGTCTTCTTCCTCCTCCTCCTCGTTTCCTCCTCGTCCTCTTCCTCCTCCTCCTCCTCGTCCTCCTCCTCCTTCTATTCCTCCTCCTCCTCCTCCTCCTCCTCCTCCTCCTCCTCCTCCTCCTCCTCCTCCTCCTTGGGAGTGCTGAAACCAGCAAATCGCCTGAGACATCCCCCAAAAACTGCTTCGAAAACAACAGATGCCCAGCATCAGAACGGCCAAACCGCCTGAGACATCCCCACAAACTGGGCGCGAACGTCCTCCAAATCTGCTCCGAAAGCGAAACATGCTGGAGGAGAAAATGGCCAAACCGCCTGAGGCATCCCCACAAAATCCCGCGAAAGGGGCCGAAGGAAATACCCCCCCGCCGCTCCCCTTAGGAGTGCTGAAACCAGCGAATCGCCAGAGACATCCTCCAAATCTGCTCCGAAAGCGAAACATGCTGGAGGAGAAAATGGCCAAACCGCCTGAGACATCCCAACATAATCCCGCGAAAGGGGCCGAGGGAAATACCCCCCCGCCGCTCCCCTTAGGAGTGCTGAAACCAGCGAATCGCCTGAGACATCCTCGCAAACTGCTCCGAAAACGAAACATGTTGGAAGAGACAATGGCCAAACCGCCTGAGAAATCCGCACAAAAACCCGCGAAAGGGGCCGAGGGAAATACCCCCCCGCCGCTCCCTTAGGAGTGCTGAAGCCACTGTATCGCCTGACACATCCTCAACATCAGTGTGTGTGTGTGTGAGTCATCCGATGAGTGGACCTGAGTGAGTGTAGTGAATGTATGAGTACAAGTACGAGTGAATATGAGTGATGAGTGAGTCTGAGTGATGAGTGGGTCTGAGTGATGAGTGCGTCTGTGATGAGTGATGAGTCTGAGTCATGACTGAGTCCGATTGATGAGTGGGTCTGAGTGATGAGTGAGTCTGAGTGATGAGTGGGTCTGAATGATGAGTGAGTCTGAGTGATAAGTGAGTCTGAGTGATGAGTGAGTCTGCGTGATGAGTGAGTCTGAGTGGGTCTGAGTGAGAAGGGTGGTGTGTTCTCGTCTGTGTTCTCCTCCGGCGCGGTCCGCCAATAACAAGAGCCCCATACTTAGGACATGGGGAACAAGAACCCTATCATATAATATGAAGAGACTAATACCAATAATGGGAATAACACAAATAAGAATAATAATAAACATAAGAATAATAATAAACATAACAATAATAATAACAATGATAGGGGGAGGGGGACCCCCTCCCCACCCGACTTATGGTGGTGGTGGAGAAAATAAGCCCACCACGTGGTGGATGCCTGTGCGGGCCCCCGCGCGGCCGACCTCAGGCCGACGGCGGCGCCTCCGCCTCATGCGGGGCCCCCAGCTTGCTGGCGGCGGCGGCCTCCTGCATGCGCCGCAGGTCGCGGGGCAGGCTCCAGTGGAGCATGGTGTAGAAGAGCAGGCAGAAGACCCAGGGCACCGCGGAGGTCATCGCGAGCGCAAAGCCGAGGGCGGACATGTTCTCGCCCCCGCCGCCGCGGGAGGCCTGCGCCGCCTGCTCGTGCAGGTCGAAGCCCATGAGCGTCTGCGCGAAGAAGCTCACGGCCAGGTTGCCCGCCACGGACGCGAAGGACCCCTCCACCGCCGCCTCCCAGGCCATGACCGCGCCCCGATTGTCGGCGGTCACGATCTGCGTGAGTATGGGCCAGTTCACCCCCACCGCGCACCATGACGCGAGCAGCCCCAGAGAGACGACCAGGAAGAGGTACCAAGGGAACGCCCAGCCCTGCGGGGCGGGCACCATGAAGATCAGCGCCGCAATGGGGATGCCCGCGAAGACGGAGATCTGCGCGGTGAAGGGCCTGCCGTGGCTCGGCCACCGGCGCGCGAGCGAGTCGCCGATCCAGCCGCCCAGGAGGTTGCCGAAAGCGCTGGCGATGAAGTTGGATGCCTGCAGGGTGCCCGCCAGGAAGTCCCCGATGCCAGCGACCTGGAAGAAAAGCGTCTGGTAGTTGAGGACCTTCCACGGCACCAGGCCGATGCAGCCCTGGGCCACCAGGGCGACGAAGCTGGGCAGCGTGAAGTAGTGCAGGATCTTGAACAGCTCCCCACGTACGATGCGTATGACGCTCGCGGCGCCAACACCGGCAGCCTTTCCAGGAGCGGCGCGCTGGCGCGGAGGCTCGACCATGAGAGCGTGTACGACAGCTCCAACGATGATGCTGACGGCGCCGATGCCGATGAAAGACACGCGCCAGCCATGCATGCCAGCAACTTCCTTCCTGGAGATGGGCGTGCCAATCACGAAGCCCAGCATCATGCCGAGCATCGCTGAAAACTGGATCCAGGCGAAGCTCTTTCCACGGTTCGATTCGGACGTGATCCCCGAGATCATGCTGACGGCGATGGGCTTCAAGCTCGCGAGCATCACGCCGTTGAGGGCGCGCAGCGCCATCATCCTAGGGTAGGAGGACGTGAATGCCAGCAGCACCGTCACCACACCCTGCAGGATGCAGCCCACGACGATGAGGACCTTCCTGGACACGACCTTGAGCAGGGAACGACCGTCCCGGCATTCCTTTAGGCCTACCACGACATGTTCTTAGAACCCAAACATGTCCTAATAACGAAAACAGTTGCCTTAGAACATAAACCCGATGTGTTAAAACAAGACAGTCCCAGTCAGAACTGTTCTGGGAACATTCCGTGGAAACCACAAAAACGTTCTTACAACATTGTTTGGTAGGCCTGTAGGCACGCGAGGACGCCTCGCCGCTGCTTGAACGACCTCCCTGTCCGCCAGGGTGCCCCACAGAGGCGCGAAGGCGGCCATGGTCAGCGCCTGCACCATGGCCATGCTCGTAACGGCCGACAGGTCCAGGCCCAGGTCGACCTGTCTGGAGCCCCGAAATGGTACGCTGACAGACCGTGTGGTGACCTCCGAACCCTTTCCCTCCGCCCTCCTCCCTCCTCCCTCCTCCCCCCCCTTCCTGCACGCGTGGCGATTATTTGGGGATCCCAAGACCGTGTGGTGACAGACCGTGCGGTGACCTGCGCCGTCAGAGAGGGACCCGGACCCAAAAATAGTGCGGTGGCCCCGGATCCCCACCCACTCGCCGCACGTCGCGGTCACCACGCCGCCTGGGGGGCCCCCATGGGTGACCTGCAGCGCGTAGGCGACGGCCGGGAGCATCGCGTCGTCCACGCCCTCGACGAGGCTGACGGCGGAGAGCAAGCCGAGCAGCGTGGCGCTCGCGCGCGCGCTCTCCTCGGCGCCGCCCGCCGTCGAGCCGCTGCGCGGGCTGCTGCTCGAGCTGACGGTGGGCTGGTGCTCCACGGGCGGCTCCCACGAGGCGCCGGCCGCCGCCATGCTCGGAGGGCCGGCCGCCGCGAGCGGGGTGGGAGGCGCGGCGCTGCAGCCGAGCGGCAGGAAGCCTGAAGCGACTGAAACTCCTGAGCCAAGAGAACTACGGAGGCCGTCTGAGGGGCCATCCTGGGCCGTGCGGGGGCCATCTTGGGGCGTCATGTTTCGGGGGCCATCTTGGGCCGTGCGCGGGCCATCCTGGGCCGTGCGGGGCCATCGTGGGCCGTGTCGGGGTCCTGTTTCGGCCTCTCTGCGGTGCCTCTCGGAACCCCTTTTTTTGTCACCGCGTGGGAGAAACTCTGGGCCGTCTTCGGGCCGCGTGGAGCACTGCCAGAGCCACCCAGGGGAGAGCAAGGAGAGTTGAGTTCTCGGATGATGGTGATGCTGGTGATGATTAATCTCACTATTGCTGAATTTCTTTGGAGTATTATTACTGTGTGTGCTTCTCTCTCTCTCTCTCCCGTTCCTCTCTATTGCTCTTTCTTTGCCTATGTTTCAATGTTTCTGCAAACAGGTGTGAATGCATGTATATATATATATACATATATATATATATATATATGCATAGGTGTATATATGTATTTATGTGTATATATATATATATATATATATATATGTGTATATATATAGGTAGGTGTAAATATACATGTGAGAGAGAGAGAGAGAGAGAGAGAGAGAGAGAGAGAGAGAGAGAACGCGTTACACGGGCGCTTGCCTTGGGATCATTCGGCGGCGCGTTTCGATACGGGGGGTGGGCCCCCCAAAACACTCGGCGACGTCGATCAAAACCAGGGGGACTCCCCTCCCCCCTAAACACCCCCCCACCTACCGACCCCCCCCCCCTCCCACGGCGAGGGTGGGGGGGTTCAAACCCCCCTTCCCCGGCGCCGGCGCCGGCGGCCGCCAGCAGCGCCGACGGCGGTGAAGCAGCGACGATGACCACAGGCAGACCAAAGGGTGGGGGGTGTTCAACACACACACACACACACACACGCACACACACACACACACCCTGGCGCCGGCGCCGGCGCTGGCGGCGGCAAGCAACGCCGGCGCTGGCGCCGGCGACGGCGGGGAAGCAGCGACGATAACCACCACTACAACCGCCACCACCACCGCCTCAACCCACCACCACCACCACCACCAACCCACCATACAACCACCACCACCACCGCAGCCACCATCACCACCAGAACCACCACCACCACGAGTCACCATCTCCACCACCACCACCACAAAAACCCACCACCACCACCACCGCCACAATCACTACCACTACCAGCGGCAAAAACCAACCACCACCACCAACACCACAAACCACCACATTTCCACCACCACCACCGCCACCACCACCATCAGCACCACCTCCACAACCCACCACCACCACCACAACCCACCACCACCACCACCGCAAACCACCACCACACCATCACCCAACCACCACCACCACCACAACAAACC